CACTGCGTCATTACGTCACGTCTGTAAACATAAAGAAGTTGTCCCGGCTACTAGGCTACCGCATGTGAGGATCCAGCAGGTGGCCGATCGTTTATAGCCTTTTCTCACAGCAGCTAGAATAATTTGATGGTGGATTGCAATCCATAAAGGATTATGTGTTTTTGAAACACATGTGAAGGAAATTAAATTTATATTCCAGCTATAAATGTGCTTCTGATTCTCATTCCTGCAGGTTTCGCACAAAATTCCCGCAAACATTTATTTAATATACAATATAGGTCAGATGAGTTAAAAAATTCACACAGAATATCAGATTAATTCAGTAATTTGAAAACAGCATGAGTGGTTCAGCTGTACCGCTCACTCTCACTCTCACTCTCTCAAAATTGCCTCACATCAGCGCATCTCGTCTGCACTAAGAGAGCTGCTGCACGCTGCAATACAAGACTTTAGCTCAGTTGACAGAACTGTCACTTGCCTAATCGGGTCAGTGTTGCATCATCACAAAAGTTTATAATTTTGACGTCTTTTTATGTCGTTTTAAACCATTCGGTACTTGCGCGCTCCAAACTAGTTTTCTGGGGTTGTTAACATTAACAATTTGAGAATAAAGTATAACAATAATAATAATTTGCACGGTTTGATGTGATATGAGCTAACCGATCATTACACTTAATCACCATTGGTAGCGAGATTTATAGTAATGCTTTTTTCCTCAGTTGGTCAGAACAAACGTGGCAGACTTGTTACTTACTTGTGCAGCTGACAATATCCGGTGAAAATGCTTATTGAGTCATATATTCCAAGACGTAGGCTACAATCTGTGAGTGCAAAGTACAATATCCACACTGGTGCAGTGACTGACTGCCACACATACTCCTCAAAACATTAGATTCATCCGCGCTGGAGCTGTGCCGCCACACAACCCATGCAAAGAAGATAATTCCGCACACAGCTGCAATTCCAGGTTTTCAAACAGAGATGGCAAAATTTACAGACTGCAGCTTTAAGTAAATTAGTTAGCAAGTAAAATATATAATAATGGGTAAATTCTACCATTTGTTAACAGTAATAACTGCAACACTAAAAAATTAAGTGATGCAAATCTTTAAAAAAATATATAATAATGGGTAAATTCTACCTACACTACCTATTTGTTAACAGTAATAACTGCAACACTAACAAATTAAGTGATGCAAATCTTTTAAAAAATATTTATTTTCAATGAAAACTGTGAGATTTCTGTCCCTCCACTGAAAGTCTACTCATCCAAATCTCTTGATGCTTCAAGAAGTTCATGAAGAGATCGTAAAATAAATCCATTTGAATCGAGCAGTTTAATCCAAGTCTTCTGAAGACACACAATCGCTTTATATGATGAATAGATTTCATTTAGGCTTTTATTCACATATTTACATTGATCAGCGAACAGAAACAATTTAATGGTACATCAACAAATTTCTGACCACTACACACACACACACACACACACACACACACATTACAGCTGAGTTTATCTCACAATTTTTGAATTTCAGAAAACACAGTTTAGTATGTTTTTTTTAACCCATTTTGGTTTACTGGGACACAGGAAGTGTCCTCATAAGCCATGTTTATGTTGTAGTACCCATGTCATTATACACATTTGTGTCCTCATTAACCATGTATATCAGAACACACACACACATTTGTATGTCAAGTGGGTTTAACTATAGGGCTGGAGATAAACTCAGCTGAAAAGATTCAGAAAAAGTTTGTTTGTTTGCTTGTGTGTGTGCACAAGATTAAAATATTCATTTTAATTTCGTTATGTTACTGACACTTCTAAATGAACATATGTCAACATCAATGAAGACCATTTTAAAGATCTGACTAACTGTTTATCAGCACATACACGAACATTTGACTGTGTTTGTTGAATGATGGCACCATTCAGAATTGAATTAAGAATGCATTTCTAATTCCAATTAATTTCCAGATTTTAAATTGATAGAATAAATTGGATGCAGAATGAATACGCTTATGCATTTCGCCTCAGTGGCCACCGCAACTTCTGGTGCAGTGCAGTATGTAAATTGTGAGAAAATTAAGCACAACATTAAATCTTGAGGTTGTACAGGACAAAGCAATATTGATATCATCCACCTTCACACTAAAGGTATATTTCTGGCACTTGTTACAATTTAATTTAATTAATTACATTTAATTCAATTAAATTAAATTTAATTAAATTTAATTTAATTTATGCATTTAGCAGACGCTTTTATCCAAAGCGACTTACACTGCATTCAGGCTATACATTTTTTTTTACCAGTATGTAAATTACAAAATTACAAAAACGTTATAGTTTAATATAATATACTGAAATGTTATGTTTGCTATAGTTAATAATGTATATAATATGTCTACTATATTAAAATATAATGTAATTATTTGTTAACAACAGTTATTGGAAAAATGACAGAAAGAGTTTGTTACTACCAAAGTTTGCTATTTGAGAATGTGATACTGGAAACTTAGCAGAAAGTTTTTAGCAGAAAAAATTGGCAGTCGGCATGCATAGAGTCCATTGCAAATAACTTTTATTCACAGGCTATCTAGCTACCCAACAATTAAAACTGTCATTTAATTAGAGGAAGAAGAGAATGAAAAGTTTTGTAAACTTTCAAAAAGATCCATTTTGAAATGATTTCTTATTTTGCACATGCACAGTTTCTGGGTCTCTGGGAGTGCTTAGAGAAAACTCTGTGGTTAGCTAGTTTCAAAGCTATCACATGCTTTGTGTGGTCCTGCAAATAAATGAATTAAAAAAAAAATCACTTGAGAAAGGCAACTTAGCTTTAACTGGGGTGGGGGAGATGTGTTTGAGACTGTTGTGACCACATTCCAACCACAATTGGGCCAAATACATTTGCATGCCTTTGTTTGTGTTTTTGTATATGTGTATATGTTTGTATATGTGTTGAAGTTTTATTCATTGATTCATTCTTTCTTTAATTTCTTTCTTTCTAATGGGATAGTACACCCCAAAATGAAATTCTGTCATCATTTACTCACTCTCATGTTGTTTCAAACCTATATGACTTTATTTATTCTGTGGAACATTAAAAGAAGATATCTTGAAGAACGCTGCCTATCACTGTATCAACACACATTTCTATCACCAAATTTAAAAAAAACAAAACATTGAGACACTTTTTTAAATAGACGCTTCTTGTGTTCCAGGAGAAACAGACTCATACAGGTTTGGAACAACATGAAGGTGAATGCTATAAAAAAAAATATGTCTTTTGCAGGATTACGATTTTGTTGTAGAAATCACACCTAGACTGCATAAAAACTAATAAATTTAGCTGTAACAAATTACAGTAATTTTTTTAGGTTGGTCCAAAGTAGCATTTTTTTCAGTGTAGAGCATGAAGAGCAGTGTGTGTGTGTGTGTATGCGCTTTTACAGGAAATAGCGCGTGACTATTTGTGTGACTATTTGACTTCTTCTTTGAATTAGGCTTCTATTTCTTGGTGACTGGCACTGACATTTTTCCTTGACAAATATGGTGTACATTTCACAGCTTTGGATATTTTTTGGTGCTCTGGTGTCTTCAAACAGTAAGTTATAGATATAAATATGTCTTCTGTCTCAATACCTGTGAGAGATTGGATCAGTAAAATTTTGATGCTGTTCTTCTGTTTAGCTCTGGACCGCTGGCATACAAGATGCACAGATGTTACCATCAGAGCCTCTCTGAGATCTGAAGTCTCTCTTCCATGTCACTTTACTATAAGCCATTACAATAAAACAGAGAAAATAAAATGGAGCCACCAGTCCAGTCTTGTAACGATCACAAACAATGGCATTATCTACTTCGATAATCCTAGTGAAGGACGAGTGAGCTCTTTCCCTAATCTGGCAAGAGGAGGAAACTTTTCCATCCTCATCCATGATCTGCAGGCTTCAGACATCGGCACCTATTTTTGTGAGCTGAACAGTGAATGCTGGAGGGTGAAGATCATGGAATTGCCAAGTAAGATTAGTTCTTTCAAATTTAGCAGGAATCATATAATGGCCTGTATTTTATTGGAGACAAATAATAAATTAAGACAAAATTAGCTGGATGATTTTACATGTTTTTACAACATCATTTGTCTTTTTCAGAAACTGAACAGCTGAACTCTAATCGCAACTCCTGGTTATTCTTTTTTGCTGGAGCTGGAATTTTCACTCTGCTTTTTATTATATTCAATCGCACTGGTAAGCAGTACTTTTCATTCACTATCCACAGCAAAATTCCATGAACCAGTATTAGCCAAATAATAAATCCTCCTGTTTATTTGTTTGTAAAACAATATTCAGGCTTACAAACCCGTTTGCAGTCCTCGACAGAAAAATGCATGAGATCATCCAAATCTAACTCTACGAATGAAGAACACCATGAAGGTAACTTCAGTAAAACATGATTTTTCAAGATTTTAAGATTTTTTTTTTTTATTCTGAATAAAGTATAAACAGGTTTATTATTGGCATTTAATGGCAGCTGATATATTTACATTTATGTATTTATATTTACATGCGGTAATTACAAAACCTAAGTAAATGCATATTTAATTTAATTTAATTAGATTGCTGCTGATTGTTTGAAAGCTTATAAAACAGTCTGAAATTCCTGCTAATAGGTTATTTATATTATGTGATATCAAAATATAACATACACTCTTAAAAACCAAGTTTCTAAAAGTTTTTTTTTAACAGTGAATATTTCAGTGAACAGATCTTAAAAGAACCCATTTTTTTTCTTAAGTTTTAAAAATCTAAAGAAACATTTTCCACTATAACGGTGGAATTGACATTGGATGTTAAAGGTTCTTCATGGAACCAGAGATGCCAATAAAGAAACATTTTATTTTTAGTGTAATATGTAATATCAACAAATATATAATGTGCTATAAATATTTTGCTTTTCAAGAACATGGTTCTTCAAGTCAAACATCTAATATCCAACAGCGAGGTGATTCACCATTTCTATTTCCATTATACATATATTATAAAATAAGATATATGTTTAGTATGACAATAAATTAAGCTCAAATAATAAAATTAGCAAACTAATACTTTTTTTTTTTTTTAAATCAGCATTCAGAAATCCAGATCCAAATGATTTTACGACATCTACAGTATACTATGGTAAGACACAATTTGTATGTGGATGTTTGGAAAATGTGTTTTTAATTATAAGGTTGAGAATATCTATAATAACAAAAGAATAACAAAATATCTGTTTGATATGTTTTAGTCATCCAGGCATAATACTTCAATTTAGAAGGTGCCGGCAAGAGGGGAAAATAAAAATCATGATTTCCTATTTCAGATTATAATTCTGTTATTTTGTCTATCAGTAAATACTGTTGTCCTTTCATGTGGTTCATGTGTTTTGACATGTTTTTCTATTACCATTCATTGATTTTTTGTGTTTAAAATGGGTTGATTCTCAGATAACTGAATACTTTTGTAAACCACATGTAAATTTATGTTAAAATCTTCATTGTACATTGATTGTAATGAACTTTTCCTTGGATATTCTTTGTCATTATTTGTAATGTTGTGCACAAATGATTTGAATACAAATAAACAAAAGAAATAGTATTATGTTGAGTAATGTTGACTGTATCTATCTCTTAATCATCCTCGTCTACCATTTCTGAAAAAGGTAATTTTTTATTCTGTAGGCTATTTGAAGTCGAAGGGAGCTGTGAAAAATCTGTTTTGTACATTTAATAGAAGTGCACAGATGGCATGACATAGCCAAATTTATATATATATATATTATTATTATTTTTCTAGGTAGGTACAAGCAAGGGTGTAACTTTTGTTTGAGAAGTGGGGGGGACACAAAATGGGGGGAAATGTTTTCGATTTGAATCCCATTTCCTGCATTTACATACATTTAGGGACTATGGTGATACAAAATCCAGGAAATAATTAAGTTGATTATAATGATAAATTCTGCCAAAAAGAATAGTAGGAAAATGCTGACAGAAAATGCGCGGTTTAAAGTGAACTCATCTTCATGGTACACAGAATGTTCTACATCAGTGGTTCCCAAACTTTTTAGAGTGGAGTACCCCCTGAGGCATTAACCATCCTTCTGCGTACCCCCTCTCTTCCACTTAGACTGCACCTTTTCCATTAAAGGACAATATTTGCCCCCTAAATGGACTTTCCAGTGCATTTTTTATCTTTATAAATACAATATTAATAATATTTTAAATTTAAAAAAGCGCCAGTAGGTGGCGGTAAGCCACTGTCTTAATGCGTAAGTCATCGAGTCATTTGTTCATTCAGTAAGGAAGCAAGCGGATGTATTTATGAATGAATCATTGAATCAATGACTTTCACGAATGATTAGTTCACAAACACCGCAAAATTTAGCATTTTGTTCACGTACCCCCTCTGTCGCCTCACGTACCCCAGTTTGGGAACCACTGTTCTACATTAAATATTTAGCTAACAACAGCCTGAAATTACCTAGCAACACTGTATGTTAACGTTAGCTCAGTCAACGTTAGGCTAACATCAACAGGTGTAGGCAGAAAATATGATTATTCTGATCTGAGCTAATTTACTGAATCAACCAACTCACATCTCCTTTCTTTCTTTTCATCCA